GACTCCTTGTTGTTTTTGTAGATACAGACTAACACGGCTACCCCCTGATACTTGACACCATGCAAGGATTCATACTGACTGTTCCTAGAGGACTGCATGAGGCAGAAAGTGATATGCGATGTATGAGAGCCTTTTACACTTAAATACAGCTACTGTAGTAACTACGACAACTAAAAAGCAAATGTTAAAAACTATCTTAAAGAGGCTTTTTGCTATGGGCCTTTTGAACCAAGTGTGGCATGCACAATAAAACCTTCAACGATTATCCAACAAAGGAACGCACACAGAGTAGTTAAATGCCATGAGTTACTAGCCTCGGGAGTGAATACCTCTGTTATGCATCAACATGTGTCTATGCAGTCCAGTCAGACCTTGTTTTTCTCTATGCTGATTTCTGAACTGTAATCACTATGGTACTCTTTCTAGGTGCCACATGTGTTAATCTGAAGTTATTTTTTATCAAAAAAACAAATGGAAATTGTATATAGACTAGAAGTGAACAGACAGGAGTACACACAGTGAACAGGAACCCCTTAGAAGGGAAAGCCTGCCTGCAGGTAATCTACACCAGAGACTGAGTACCTCACAGGGTTCTCCTCTCCCGCACTGCACTTGATTGCTTCTCATTTAGAGGTAAAAGCAAGTTAGAAGTTGAATCACCAGGGCTGCCACATTTCTGCAAGGCCTTCAAAAATTACCCCACTTGAAGGTACCTCACTGGAGGCACAAACCCTGTTTCAAAAGGACTGCAGAGATCCTGTTTCCTTTCCGAAGTACCAGGTTCATGTTCGCTCTCTCACCTCAGGACTCAAGAGTTTGACACTGTTAGTAACAGCCAGTTTTAAAACCAAGTAAAATTATTGGTTACTAACACAAGTGAAATTTACCATAACAGTATTAAAATTAACAAACACCCACACACTACTCAGCACTCATAAATCAGCCATTCCTCCGTTTATTCCAGGGACCCTTATCTTCCAGCACTCATAAATCAGCCATTCCTCTGTTTATTCCAGGGACCCTTATCTTCACTCCTTAACTGATGAAGTATTTCTTATTTGGAAACCTGCATTCATGAGTTTTCTGATCAGGTTCAAACCATTTCTGAATGCAAGTAATGCTTTTGGGTACCTCCAGCTATAGGATCCACCCAGATGCTGCTGACACTGCTGGATAGGATGCTTTCAAGAGGGAAGTTATGCTTGGGCTGTTAAAAGCTGGCCTGCACCCAACCTGAGAGCATTTTTGCAACAACTTTTTCTGCTATGTAAATCAACTATATTTTTGTCTCCGAGTGCTCATAGGATACCCTTCTATTTTCTTGTGTGCACATTTGAATTCAGTGCTGGTGAAAGGTGCAGGACTGGCAGCCCTGAATACTGAAGGCCACTGTTTATCTACCGATAGTGACAGTAAAAGCAGCAACAGCACAAATTTCTCTACTATACCTCAATCCTGACATACAGGGACAATCACTCGGAGTGGAGGTGTATCAGTCCAAAAAATGACCTATTCCTCTACTAAGACTATCAAGCTGTCAGCAAAGGAGTCAAGTGCTTATGCAAGTCCAACATTTGTCTACTGGGAACCAGACTGAGACAGACAGATTTGGGGGTGGCTGGGGGAAACGGGACTAGACAGCAAAAAATTCAGCTATCATACTTTCATTCTCTTGCTCCCTGCCAAGACATGATCAAATGCTTATTTCCCCAAGAATGTCAATAGAGCAATATTGAAAAAAATATTTTAGACTTGTGATTTTAATATGTGAAGTATGCAATTTCTCCTTTTTATCTTCCCCCCTTATATTTTGGGACAGTGCTCTTTGCATTCATTGGCGAGGTGGCGTTAAAACAAAAAACAACCAAAAACTACATTAAATCTGAAATTTCCAAAACAGATGAAGTCAGTATCCACAATAAACAGTGAAATAATCCGCAGTTGGTGAATAGTTGGCATCCGTTTTGAAATAAACAGATTGTTGTTTAGTCATCTTAAACCTCTCTGAAAGCAATGGGCTGCAGAGAAAGTGCCAGGTGCCACCCTGACTCCGACACATCAGTTGAATCTAACTCACGAGCAGGATTCTCAAAACTGATGAACGTTTTTCCACCAACAGGGTGTGTCATTTATTACAGGGTCTGCACTATCCTAACGTTCTATATTCTTGAGGACATCCCTTACTGAAGAAGCTGAAAACTTTAATTTAACATTCTAAGTTTCGCCATGTGACAAACCAATCCCGTGCAATGCATTATCTTCTGTCAAAGAACTAATCAAAGCTAACAGCATATAGGCCCTACCTGTGACTACCAACAAGTTTCACAGAGCAGTAAGTTTGCTCTAATGTTTTCCTCGTCGCTGGGAAGGAGGGGAAATAAAAATAGTCCATTTCTGAAGCCTTTTCCTTACCTGCAATTGCAGTTTCATCCAAAAAGGTACCTGGGGGCCTCTCCCCCTGTCCTTGGTGCAGAAGAAAACCACACAGGATCCACACTGCTACTCTTGACCACACATCCATTTCTGTGTAATATTACGGCCTTTATCCCTTTGTATGTCAGCTCCTCCTCAGCATCAGTCCCCAATGGATATGTTCAAGTTTCTTAGTTCACTCTGCACCTTTATATCCCAAAATGGTGTAGGAAGTAAAGTGTCTGATATCCCAGGAGCGGTACCCGATTAAATCCAAAGGCTACAGAAGTAAAGGATGGAGATACTTTGAGGTTCTTTTCCCCCCCTCCAGCATAAGCTGAAATTTTGCCCTAAGTCTATGGTTTCTCCCAAAAACCAGCCTCACAATTAAATTTATCTCCAAATAAAACAATTTTTAAATTAGTCTCCCTAGCCCTGAAGAAAGTTCTCTCAAGTCTTGTATTTTTAAAGACTAGTTAAGATAAAAATATCTAACATTTTTGGTATTAAAAAGTAAAAAAAATTTCATGAATGATTTACCAGCAGCGTCTCTAGGGCTCAAAATGCTGCAGCATCCAAGTTTTAACTATTCGCAGTCAAGCACAGCTTCAACCCACTTGCAGATTCCAAACCGTTTAGCCATACTAAAATAAACCAAACTTGTTTAAAATGATTTTTTTTTTGGTCAACTAAGTGTCTATGCATGTGACAACTTAACGCTTTAATTTAAATTTCAAACAACATGCATTTTAATCAGATACCTTTAAAGAGCAAGATATTTGCAAAGACACTAATGCACATTCTTTTAAAGATGCAGAGAAGAATTTTTAAAAACCCAGAATTAAATAAAGCCCCACAGGCCACAATCCTCTATTACAGTACAAAATATAAAAAACATGCCAAACAGGGACACCTTATTCAGCTGGAGACTAACAGACCTGGACTCTGCCAGGTATCAGGTAACCTAGCCCTTTCTTTGCTTCTTGCTAGCACTCCTTAAAAAAAAATGTGGTAGAACACCCATTATCCATTCCTCTATTCCCACCTCAGCAGCACAAAACTGCAGTAGTTTTACCACCTGAAATGGTTTTTCTTGTCTGCTCTCTCCCAGGGTTAGTATCTTTACCCAGGGCACATTTCTCAGTTTAATCCAAAAAGTCTCATTTAATCCAAATTTTGGTTTTGACTCAGTTTTGATCAAGGTTTCTTTTTATGCACTTCAGCAAATCTCAGTTTATCGTTGGGATTTCCAGATCACTTTATCAGCAACTCTTCTTTGACTCAAAAAATTGCCAGAATCTCTCTTCGTTTGGCCCAATTTATTTCCACCACAGCTCTCTTTCTAGAGTTGAGTGATGATCTATCCCAGGCCTGTTGGATACGATAGGCTACGTAAGGATTTTTTTTCTTTTATCCCAGTTTAAATCAACAGCATCCGTTCAATCATGGATTTTCCCGAGAGAGTATGTCCAAGCAGAACATAAATCCCAGCAGCAATCAGGATGGCTCTCACTCGTCAGACCTAGCGCCTATCAACTCCAGGCTTCTCCCGGGACAGTCTGCTCATCCAGTAGGCCTGGCTTCTCCCAGGATTAGTCCTCCTTGCTCCTGGAGCAGCTCTCTTGCAGCAGGCCTGGGGTGTCCTGGGACAGGTCCGGATCGTTAATGCTGGTTCTAGTCCTTCTGCTCAGAACCCCTACCCCACCCCCCACAGCCCTAACAATTCCTCCCAGGCTTGCCCTTCCCCCACATACCACTGGTCTCACCCAGGCCAACTCTTAACCCCTTTTCCCCCTCACCAATAGCCTCACCCACACTAACTAACCTCCCCCTATCCCCTCAGCAATGGTCTCACCCAGGCGAACCTTTAACCTCTCCCCCTTCCCTGAGGGATGGTTTCCCCCAAGACTAACCCTTAACCTCTCCCTCCTTTCCCCCCTCAACAATGGTCTCATCCACACTAACCTTTAACCTCCCCTTCCCCCCCCTCAGCAATAGTCTCACCCACACTAACCCTTAACCCGTCCCCCCTCCGCAATAGTCTCACTCAGGCTAACCCATGACCCCTCTTTCTTGAGCAATGGTTTCCCCCAGGGCTAGCCCTTCCCCGCCTCCCCCCCAGCAGGAATGGTTTCACCCAGTCCACCCCTTGACCCCTAGCAATGGTTTCTCCCAGGCCGGGCCATCCTTCCCCCCTCTGCAATGGTCTCTCCCGGGCAGCCCTCTCAGCACCAGACTCGCCGTCGCTCCCCCGCGCCCGGTAGTTTCTCCCGAGGCCCCTCCCCCGGCAGAGGTGTCTCCCCTCGGGCGGACCCCCCGTCCCCGGTGGCCGGTTACCCCGCTCTCGCCGCCCAGCTCCGGAGCGGGCTGAAGCGCTGCTGCCGCCGCCGCCGCCGCCGCCGCCGCACGCTCGGACACTGACAGCGGAGGCGCCAACCGCCGCGCCGCCAAATGGGGCGGGGCAGGAACCAGGAGGGGCCCCGCCCCTTCCCGCTGGCAGCCAATAGGCTGCGGCCGCCTGGCCCCGCCCCCTGGCGGGCTCCGCGCTGCCCCGCAGCGGCCTCTGGCGGCGAAGGGCGGGAGCTGCAGGCGGCGCTTCAGAGCAGGGCGGCAGAGCGCGCGAGCTAAGCAGGCTCCGGCGGGGCCGGCGCTTGGAGGGGAGACGGCGGCTGCCCCGAGGGCCCAGAGGGGGCGGGCGAGGCTGGGTGTTGCTGGGGGAGGGGTGCGCCCCGCAGCCTGGCAACGGGAGGCCGGTTGTGTCTCCTGGAGACCCCCAGAGAGCAGGGGGCCCCGGCACAGGAAGCCCCGAGGTGCTGAACCCCGAGCGTCCGCCCAGGGGGAGACACAGACCCCCCCAAAGCCTCTGCCCCGTACAGCCAGTGCAGGCAGGCGCTGGGCCCGGGGCGCCCTGCTCCGGGCTGGTTCCCCTCCCCGGACGGCCAACAGAGCCTGGGGATCCGGAAACATTCCCGAGCAGAAAGATCTCGGGGGGTGAGCCCTAAATCTCGGGGTATGACAATCTCGGGAGGTGACCCCGATGCTCAAAAACCGGAGACTAGACGCAGGGGTTCTCACAACAACCGTGCTGGTGGCCTCGGGGTGTGGCCACCATCTCTTGCTGACAATTTTTCCTAAAATAGGTCATTAACTTTAGGAAAAAAACAAGTAAATCTGCACCTATACGTGTCCATATCATTGTCATTTATTTATGGAAGATTTTATTTATTTATTTTGCAGACTCAATAATAAAAATAACGTACAGTTGTCTCTATTCTTTACTGGCCCTAAACAGAATAGAAACGCCAATCAGGGACTTTGCACGGTCTTGTCTTTTTTCTTGGTGTTTCTTTTGCCTTTTTAGTTGCTTTTTTTAAAGACTTGCTAGAGACTAAATGTGCTGTGAAAAGGGATATTAACAAACGTACGAATGTCACTTTTCACAGCAGACTTACTCAGCCCTGGCAAACCTGGCTACAAATTAAGCCCTGGATGGGGAGGTGGGTACAGTGGCGATGGGGCACCGGGGGAGGCAGCGAGGGCCAGGGTGATGGCGGGGGTGTGAGACTGGGGCCAAAGCCCGCCACCGCATGGCCAGGGAATGGAGCCTGAAGCCCCATGGCTGGAGCCTGCTACCCATCACCAAAGGACTGAACCCCGACCCCAGGAAGGTGAGGAACTCACGGGCTGCCTGCTCCTCCAGCTTTTGTGTCTCCAGTGGGGGGGGCAGGGCCTAACCACTACTGAAGCCCCCCTTTGCCCCCCATCACAGCCCAGGCAGCTGTGGCCACAAGAAAAGCCCCTGGTGGCCGCATGCAGCCATAGTGGCTGGACTAGAGCTCCATTCTCAGGGCCCTGCAACAGCTCCAACACTGGAAGGGGTTCCCCTCTCTTTGCGTGAAAGCGGGATTTCTTTCCCTAGTATCTCTAAATATGCGTAGCGTAGAGAAGTTACAGAAAACTAACAGCAGATTCTTCTGGCCCAGCTATGTTATTAGCAGATATAAAGGTGTTAGTAGTAGATCACAACGTCTTTCCATATCACAAACGGAGAATGGCATTGAGCAGGGCATACTGAGATGAAAGCAGAAGTGCAGCGAGTCTCCCAGTCTCCTGGGATGGGGTCAGAAGTGCAGCGAGTCTCCCAGTCTCCTGGGATGGGGTCAGAAGTGCAGCGAGTCTCCCAGTCTCCTGGGATGGGCTGAAACCCCATCATCTGCTAGAGAAGGAGAAAAAACCCAGAGACATGCCCTCCCTGTAGGGAGATTACCTGGCAGATTGTCTCCCGGCCAGAGGGGGCAGAGCTAGTGATGAGCCATTAATCACCCAGGCCTTATGAGCAGCCTGAGGGAACTTCGTGGGGAGAGAGGAGGCAGGAATCTCCTGCAGGGGAAGGCCCAGCAGTTTGGGACTGGCAGAGCCACTGGAGTAGAACTAACTCCTGTTGTGAACCCCTAGAACAAGGGGCCAGGTGTTGGGGCCAGAGTTCTGGATGTGAGACCCATAGGGAGGAGGGTAGGCACCTGTGGGGGAGGCTTGGGCTAGGGCCTACAGGGAGCAGGGAGATCCCTAAGGGAAGCTGCCAGAGCCCCTGGGGAAGGGAGGTAGTGGGGGAATCCTGCTGGGGAGAAAGCAAGACATGGGAAGCTCTGGAAAGGCCAAGAAGCGAGAACTTCAAGGACCCCCCAAGAGAGGCAGAAGAACTACCAGGGTGGGTATCTGTCTTGGGCTTTCAGTTGGGCCTTGTGCTACCACAGAAGGGGTTTGAACATTCTGGTGACTTGGCCAGAGGGCCGGGCCACAGAATAGCCAATCACATTTGTGCAACAAGATGATGGAATAGTGGGTTTGATTATATAAGCATGGCATTTGCCACAGTCTTAGGGCCTGACCTAATAAAGAATTTCAGGCATGGGGCCATCGCCAACTCATGGCATGTTGGCTGTGGCTGTCATTTTAACAACATTGTCACAATCAGCAAATAACATTGTTCTACAGCTAGATGCGTAAGAGATATATTCTTGGTTTTCCTCCAACATGACCATACAATTGGTGTAAGAACGCATTTTGAGTGTCAGTGTGCCTTTGGCTGAACTTAATCACATTTCTCTTTTTTCTTTCAGATGCTACTACGGGTTGTGTGAAAGCTGCTTGGTGATTGGTGAGAATGCTAACTGTTTGCAGTAGCGAAAGATATTTGATTACTATTGGCTATTACTGGTGCTCCAAATGTGTCAAAAAGATGCAATCTTCGGGAGACAGGTCCATGAGCAGAGACATCCCATTCCTCTACCGACGGGGGCAAGTGTATGCTTTGTCAGGAGGACCCAGGTGCAGAGTTGACTAATCCAGCAGAATCAAAACAAAAGCGTGTTAGATCTGGCTATCAAACTCCAGCAATTTAAAAGGACCAAACTGCAAAGAGCTGAGAAAGCTGTGGACCACCCTGAGGAACTGCTGAGGAAATACACACATTTCAGCAACCAACACAAAGGACCTCCAAGAAAAGAAGCGTGCTTTATTTGTGAAACAAACATGCCATCAGAAGACCTCCATGAAGCTTCTATCCTGGGCATTGATAGTCAAGTGTGCACTGCAGCTGCAAGACCAGTTCTTGCTTGCAAAACTAAGTGCAGGGGACTTAGTGGCCCAAAAAGTAAAGTATCATGCAAGTTGTTTGGTGTCTCTCTACAACAAAGTCAGGGAGAAGAAAACTGAGCAAAGCAACACAGAGAAGATGTCGCACGGGATTGCCTTTGCTGAACTGATAGCATACATTGAAGAGACAAAACTAAAGACTGGAGCCACATCTTCATTCAAATTAGCAGACCTCACCAGGCTCTATACAGCTAGACTAGAACAGCTGGGGGTGACATTCACAGCACTGAACTAAAATCACATCTTTTCACACATTCCAGATCTCCAAGCATGCAAAGAAAGACACAACGTGCTCCTTGCCTTCAACCAGGATACTGGCATGCCCTCCGAAAAGCATGTGAGGAAGACTGTGACGAAGATGCACTTCACCTGTCCCAAACAGCAAAAATTATTTGAACGGACATGTGCCAAATGAAAACACAGTTTATAAGAACCTAAGAACATAAGAAAGGCCATACCGGGTCAGACCAAAGGTCCATCCAGCCCAGTATCCTGTCTACTGACAGTGGCCAGTGCCAGGTGCCCCAGAGGGAGTGAACCTAACAGGTAATGATCAAGTGATTTCTCTCCTGCCGTCCATCACCACCCCCTGACAAACAGAGTCTAGGGACACCATTCCTTACCCTAATAGCCATTAATGGACTTAACCTCCATGAATTTATCCAGTTCTTTTTCAAACCCTGTTGTAGTCCTATCCTTCACAACCTCCTCAGGCAAGGAGTTCCACAAGTTGTCTGTGCATTGTGTGAAGAAGAACTTTCTTTTATTTGTTTTAAACCTGCTGCCCATTAATTTAATTTGGTGGCCCCTAGTTCTCTGGATCATTTAACCCAGGAGGCCAAGTAAAATCTGTGCCTGAATCAGTATTGGCTCTGATGTCCATGATATTGGATGGTCCAAACATTAAAAAACTCACTCAGAGCAAGTTTCCGTTCATCCAGCTACTCTTATTTTGGCACAGTACAGTTGCAATATGACAGCAATATCCGTTGCCGTGAAGGAACAGAAAGTTTGCACCACAACAAAGCTTGAGAAACATCTTCACCAATCTACACTGGTTTGACACATGCACAGACGTAAAAAAATGAGCTAGTAGCTACCGTCTTTAAACTTAGATTGTCCATCTCCTACGGCAGTGTTGGCCATCTCTGACAGCACGGCGAACAGTGCATGCCAACACTTCGAGGATGAGAATATATCTGTCTTCTAAAGCTTCCCGGTAGTCTGTTCACTGCTGTGGCTGCAGACCACAATCCCAGCTCCACCACAGCAACAGACTCCTTCCACAGAACTGGGATCTCACTTTTTCAGCATCCCAGTACTCAAGTGGGAGCTGACTGTGAGGCTGCAGCACCAGTGGAGGAGACGCTATGGTCACTTCCTGAATCTTACACAATTGTCCCTCCACTGATCGTGAAGAAAACCAGCGCTTCCCAGCCCACCGCAAATGCTGAAATCAAAACTGACTGCCAGCTGATTACCCAAGCCCTGCAAGGAGAATGCAGGTGGCTTGAACAATTAAGGCAAGCAGCAAGTCTGGATACCTTAAATGGAGATCGAGCCATTTTCGGGGCAGCTTACCTGGCCAACATGCAGCCAGAGCCAGACTCCGCCCGAGCTTCTTCCCTTCTTTCCAGATGACTCCATGTCTGTGGCAATGATTCATCCCGCCCTGGATGTGATAAGGAACGCTGTACACCACCTAACCCACGCCAGGTGCCAGTGATCACTGTGGATCAACCCCTTTTCATTATTAGTGATAAATATGCCCAATGGCCTGTGATGGAACACTAGATAGGGTGGGATCTGAGTTACTACAGAGAAT